GACACGGGGAATCAGGGGTGGAAAGGAGGAGTGTGCTGTCACAGTATGGGGAGAGCAATTACAGTCACATAACAATGTATGTATAAATTTTTGTATGGGGAGAAAAAAAAAAAGGATGTCCGAGGGGCATATTCTCAGGGTTCCTCCAGTCTCTGACAGACCAGCAAGCCTGGTTCTTTGTGTGCATGTGTTGTGTGAATGTGAATTTTGTTCTACATTTTTCTCCCGCTCTGTCCAGGACCCTCTACTGTGATCCCTGTCAGAGCAGTCGATGATGGTAGCTGGGCACCATCTATTTGTTCTGGGCTCAGTCTGCTGGAGATTGTGGTGTTGTGGTCCATTAGCCCTTTGGACTAATCTTTACCTGTCTGGTTTTCTTCATTCTCCTTTGCTCCAGATGGAATGGGACCAGTAGAAGTATCTTAGATGGCTGCTCCCAGGCTTTTAAGACCCCAGACGCTACTCACCACTGTCGGATGTAGAACATTTTCTTTATAGACTATGTTAAGCCAATTGAGCTAGATGTCCCCCGAGACCATGGTCTCCAGCCCTCAGCCCTCAGCTCGGTTCCTCAGGGTGTTTGGATGTGTCTGTGAAGCTTCTATGACTTTGCCCTTGTCAAGCTGTGCTGACTTCCCTGGTATTGTGTACTGTATTACCCTTCACCAAAGTTACCAAAAATCTACAATCTAGTTAGTGTTTTTCCCTCCCCACCCCTCCCCTCCCTCATAACCATCAAAGATTGTTTCTTCCTGTATGTAAACCTTTTCATGAGTTTTTATAATAGTGGTCTCATGCAGTATTTGTCCTTTTGTGATTGACTTATTCCACTCAGCATAATGCCCTCCAGATTCATCCACGTTGTGAGACGTTTTGCAGATTCTTCATTGTTCTTTATCATTGTGTGGTATTCCACTGTGTGTATGTTCCATACTTTTGTTTATCCATTCACTTGTCGATGGGCACTTAGGTTGTTTCCATCTTTTTGCTATTGTGAACAATGCTGCAATGAACACGGGTGTGCGTATGTCTATTTGTGTGACAGCTCTTACTTCTCTAGGATATAGTCCTATCAGTGGGACTGCTGGATCGTACGGTATTTCTATTTTTAGCCTTTTAAGGAAGCACCATATTGTTTTCCAAAATGGTTGTACCATTTTGCATTCCCACCAGCAGTGCATAGGAGTTCAAATCTCCCTGAAACCTCTCCAACATTTGTTATTTTCTGTTCCTTTGACTCATGCCAGTAATGCTGGGGGTGAGATGGCATCTCATTGCAGTTTTGATTTGCATTTTTCTAATGGCTAATGATCACGAGCATTTCTTCATGTGTCTGTTAGCCGCCTGAATGTCTTCTTTGTGAAGTGTCTGCTCATACCCTTTGCCCATTTTTAACTGGATTATTTGTCTTTTTATCGTAGAGGTGTTGGAATTTCCTATAGATATTAGAGATTAGATCTTTGGTGGGTATGTCATAGCCAAAAATTTTTCCCCGTCTGTAGAGTCTCTTTTTAGTCTTTTGATGAGCCTAAGTGTTTAATTTTTAGAAGATCCCAGTTATCTAGCTTATCTTTTCATGTTTGTGTATTGTTAGTTATGGTTTGTATCCTATTTATGCCAGGTATTAGGGCCTCTAGCATTGACCGTGGAGCCCTGGTGGCGCAGTGATTAAGAGTTCAGCTGTTAACCAAAAGGTCGGCAGTTCAAAACCACCAGCAGCTTCTTGGAAACCCTATGGGGCAGTTCCACCTTGTCCTATAGGGTCGCTGTGAGTCAGTATCGACTCGACGGCAACGGGTTTAGTGTTGACTCTATTCTTTCTTCCATGATCTTTATAGTTTTTGTTTTATATTTAGGTCTGTAATCCATTTTGAATTAGTTTTTGTATATGGTGTGAGGTATGGGTCCTGTTCCATTTTTTTGCAGATGGACATCCAGTTTTGCCAGCACCATTGGTTAGAAAGACTGTCTTTCCCCCCATTTAATGGACTTCGGGCCTTTGTCAAAGATCAGGTAGCAGTAGGTGGATGGATTTACATCTGGGTTCTCAATTCTGTTCCATTGGTCAATGTGTCTGTCATTGTACCAGTACCAAGCTGTTGTGACTACCGTGACTGTATAGAGGGTTCTGAGGTCAGGGAGTGTGAGGCCGCCTACTGTGTTCTTCTATAATGCTTTACTTATCCGGGGGCTCTCTCCTTTCCATATAAAGTTAACGATTAGTTTTTGCATCTCCTTAAAGATTGCTGTTGGTATTTGGATCGGGATTGCATTGTATCTGTAGATTGCTTTGGGTGAACCTCCAGCCTTCTGGTTAGCAGCCGAGCATGTTCACCATTTGCACCATCCAGGGGCTTCACTCATGAGGGGAGACCCTTAACCGAGAGCTGAGAATGGGCCAGGAGTGGAGCTTTGCAGTCAGGGAATGGGGGAGATCTGAGGGTAGGGAAGAGGGCTACCTTTCACACCCCAACCATGCTTTACCAAGGAAAGCCTCCTCCAGGTCAAGCTCTCAGCTCAGGTGGAGGGAGGCCTTGAAGGGGCTGCCCGCAGGCAAGCTTCCCTAGACGACCCGTCTCCCGGGACCTCTGTGCCAACTCACCTTCAGGGCGGGTGAACTCGCGGAAAGTAGGCAGCGAGATGACGGTGTGAGAGATGGTGTGCACCGGGTCCAGCACGCAGGTGACGTCGTTCGGGCGGCAGGACTTCACGCAGCGGACCGTGTCTGTCTTCTCCTGGCGCAGCCTGAGGGGAACCACAGCATGAGAAGTGGGTGGGGAAGCCAGAACCTGAGCCCCTACAGAGCCCACAGCGCAGGGAAGACTGCGGGTGGCCAGGCCGGGGAGCACTGGTCCCAGGGACGGCTCCAGGGGAGCACTGAGGCGGCCTAGCACCCTGGCTACTCTGTGGCAAGGCCTCAAGGCCCTTCCTGCAAACTGGATGGGGACACTCTCTGGTTTCCTCTGCCCTGGCTGTGGCTAAGCAGAGCTTTGACATCTGCCAACTGTGCAAACTGAGCTTCCGTTTCTACACCTGCAAAGTGCACTCACTCATTCGTTCCTCGTTACTCTGCCCTATTTCCTCTCTTCTGCTACAGGTAATCGTTTCAGTAATGATGCGTTGATCTTGCTTTATTTTTTTAATGTAAGTAAATATGTGTGTGTACACACCTACAGAACACACATGTACACACACATACGTTTGAGTGTCTGCTGGGTGCCAGGTGCCGGGGATACCCAAGTGAACAGAAGAGACGTGATCCCGCCTTCACTGAGCCCAGGTCAGGTGGGTCATAGAGGTAATAAAGGAGGAGGCATACATAAAGTGCCAAGTTTAGCGTCCAGCACAAAGAAGTCAAATCTATATACCTATATGTCATGTGACGGGGAGGAAGGAAAAGAAGCTGAAGTTTATCAACGGGCTATGCTCCAGGCACTGTGCTGGACATATTTTTAAAACTTCTTAAACATAGACAGAAAATGACACAAGACGAAGATATAGTGCAAAGAGTGATGACAAGAAAACCTGCGAAAGCCGGAACCAGTATAAGGTGGAAACCTGTCAGAGAAGGAAAATGCAAATATTTTCCACTAATAGACAGCGATAGAAAAGTGGTAAGACTGCGCCCTGTCAAAGGCGGAAAACTTGCGAGACCTGGATAAACAAGGCAGTCCCACTGAGTTCCAGCTCGCACAGGTTTAACTGTATAAGACAAACTCTTTATATAATTTATAATCACCACCCAGGTCAAGAAAGAGAACCTTGCCAGCCACCCCGAGACCCCTCCATGTGCTGCAGACCGATCTCTACCCCCTCCTTCATCCTAAAGTAACCCCCATCCTGACCCCCGTAGCATCATTGCCTGGGGTTTCATTCGAGTTTTATCACGTAAGTGTGCCTCTCCAGACTCAACCATTAGACTGTCCATTTGGCATTTCTTGTTCTGTCTTTTAAGTCTCTTTTAATCTACAGGTTTCCCCTTTACCTCTCCATTTTCCAAACAACTTATGTGTTAAAGAAGCCTAAGCAGTTTCCTGCAGCCTAGACTTTGTGGGCTGCAACAACAGGCTCAAGCATAGCAACGATTGTGAGGATAGCACAGGACCGGGCAGTGTGTCATTCTGTTGTACCCACACAGGGTCGCTATGAGTCGGAACCCGCTCGACGCACGTAACAACAAGCTGGGGATGCTCAGGGCCTCGATCCATTGATTCATCTGAGACTGCAAAATGGTGATAGTCTGATTCTATCATATCTTTTTCATTTATTAGTTGGGATGCTTCTAGAAAGAGATGCTTCCCCTCATATGCTATTTGGTTACCAGGCGGTACAGTTCATATAGGGAAGCAAGAAAATGCTTGATTCTTTCCTTTTATTTACCAGTTTTCAGGATAATGAACTGGTTCCCTATCCTCCCCCAAAGGTGACCAAGTAGTTTCTTTTAAATATCAGTATGAACTCACAGATTTAAACATATTTGAGGGGTCTAATCCACTGCAATTATTACCCTTCATTGAAGCTCAAAATTTCTCATCTTTGGTAGTGGGAAAATTAAGTTGGCTCTTAAGTCGTTTTGACATAACCTTTGCTGTCATTTGATGGTTTCCTTGCTGTGGGGTAGGACAAGATATTCCAGACTCATTTTGTACTTTTATTGTCCCTGACCTGGATTCAGCCATTTATCAAAGAGGGTACTATATTGTTTTTAGGAGAAAATGGTATTTCAAGGCCATAATCTAGGCACTAGGGATGCTTAGTGCTACTGGGTTGGTCATTGTTTCTAGGCCTCTTCAATGAAGATTTTTAAAAATAAAATACATCATACATTCATACTGATATTTCCAATTCAAAATGAGGACACACTTTTTTTGTTTGTTTAGTTTCTTACATATTACAAAGGGATCTCTTTTCTTCCACATCAAGAATCCTAGTTCCCAAGGACACAGGGAATGACAGATGTCCCATAATTATTTAGTTTATCCTACATTACACACAATAGCAATACTAAAATTACCACCACTAACATAATTACTGAAAATAATTAAATTATTTTGCACAAGTTCTCTCTATTCTATCCACAGTTCTTAAATAGATGTCCTATAGCTACACTGGTCTCAGCATATAGTGACTCATACTATACTCTCACCATTATACCACTCATTTAGTTGTAGTTGTACAGGTTTAATGCCTGCATGTTGATATTTTTGCATGGTGATACCAGTTTGTCCACGAAAGTCAGTTTTGCTGGGTATAAAAATCTTGGCTCACATCTTCTCAAGAGTATGTTAAGTATATTACTCTGGCATAAAGTGTTGCTGTCAAAAATCCTGATGACAATACAACTTCTCCTTATAAGTCACTGGCTGTTTTTGCCTAGAGGCTCCCAGTTTTGTCTTTTCTTTTCTTACTAGAACATGTTTTGGGTTGGTTGCTCTGGGTTGATACTACCAGGTATGTGGAATTCTAATTATTTTTTTTAATTTCTGGAAAGTTTCCCTCATTGTGAATTTCTTCGTCAGAGATTTTCATAATCCACATGTTGGATCTTTTTGCCTATCTTCAGTATCTGTCACTTTCCCTTCAAGTCTTTCCATCTCTTTTGTTATTTTTTAAGAATTTTTCTTTTCAACATCTATTCCTCTTAAGTGTTTATTCATGTCTGTGTTCATTCTAGTTTAGTCTGTTTAATTCTGGAATTGCCTTTTCTTTCATTGTTAATTATTTCCTGAGTTCTAGCACCTCACTTCTTGGTTTTTCTATTTCTGACTTACTTTTTTCTCCATGTTTTGATTAATTTTCTTGATGCTTTTAGTTTTTTTTTTTTTTTTTTTGGAAATAGAAGTTTACAGTTTTGATCTAGTCTGTGAGCATGCCTTTCTGGTGTGCTTCCATTACCCATAGGGATGTCATTCTGTTCCTTAATCTTTTCTGAGCTCCTTCTGAAAAGTCAGCCATTGAAAACCCTGTGGAGCACAGTTCTACTCTGACATACATGGGGTTGCCATGAATCAGAATTGACTCAACAGCAGCTGATTTATCAGAAATCGAGCTGCCAAAAATAAGAGATGAGGGAGCTCTGTGAAGTCAGAAAATCTACCATGTACTATGCCTCTTTCTAAAATCTCAGGAAAACCAATTTCACATAAAAATGATCAACCAAAAAGTATCAAGTCAAATCCCATACAAACTCACTGAGTGAGCAAAATGCCTCCCAGTTTCAGCTGCTGTTGTCAAATTGGCCCACCGAACTTCCAGTGACTTTCTATTGACTATTTTGACGTTCTCCTGATCTCAGGCCCATTGGACACCACATTGCTTCCTACCTACTTTCTCCTGCACAGACGTCAATACCATGCAGGTCAGCATGAATAATATTTGAGGTTTCATGGGAACACCTTGTCATCTCATTTAGATGTAAATGTTTTCTGTGGATTTTTTACTTTCTTATCTAATTGTTCTGAGTTTTTGGGCTAGGATCCAGAGGCTTCAAAAACTATACTTGTATCTTCCCAGATTCCCTGTGACAGACGTTTTTCCTGTTGTTTTTGTTGCTATTGTTAAGTGCTATCGAGTCGGCGCCAACTCCTAGCGACCCTATGTATAACAGAATGAAACGCTGCCTGCTCCTGCACATCCTCACAGGAGTAGGTATGTTTGTGCCCACTGTTGCAGCCACTGTGTCAATCCATCTCATTGAGGACTTCCTCTTTTTTGCTGAGCCTCTGCTTTACCAAACATGATGTCCCTCTCCAGTGATTGGTCCCTCTTAATGATGTGTCTAAAGTAAGCAAGAAAAAGTCTTGCCATCCTCACTTCTAAGGAGCATTCTGGCTGTACTTCTTCCAAGACATATTTCTTCATTCTTCTGGCAGTCCACGGCATATTCAATATTCTTCTCCAATACCATAATTCAATTGCTTCAATTCTTCTTCGGTCTTCCTTTTCAATTGTCTAGCTTTTGCATGCATATGAGGTGACTGAAAATACCATGGCTTGAGTCAAGCGTGCCTTAGTCATTAAAGTAACAACTTTGCTTTTTAAGATTTTAAAGAGGTCTTCTGCAACAGGTTCGCCCAATGCAATACGTCATTTGATTTCTTGACTGCTGCTTCCATTATCTCATTTAATCTCCACAACTCTTTCCTCTACACCACACTGCCTCCTTCTTTAGCTAATAAAAGTCCTGCTCTGCATTTGGGCATTATAGAATGGGAAGTGATATTCAGGGCTCTCCGAGATGAAGTTAGAGTAACAATCTGACCAGCACTAACTGATCTCAGGATGCTCCTCTCTTTACAGTATTTGAAGCAGCAGAGGGTAGCGGTTCAGAGCACAGACCCCACAGCCAGGCTGCCTGGGTGTGAATCCCAGTCCCACCAGACAACAGCTGCGGGACTTCAGGAAAGTTACTTAACCTCTCTGTGCTTCTGTGTCCTCATTGTGGAATTGGGATCATAATAGTACTTTCTCCACAGGGTTGTTGTGAGGATTAAATGAGTTCAGTGCTTGGAACAGTTCCTAGTCCACAGTAAACACTACGTAAGTATTAACTGTCATATTTGTTATGATTACTATCAGTATTATTATCATTATAATAATGATGATCATTACCATTTCCCCTTGGGATCTTGACTGATTCTAGAGATACAGCCAGAAGATCAAGGTCTAGGGGTCAGAGAGATGGCAGCTCTACATACCAATGACCTTGGGTACATCCAAACCCTTTGAACTGTGCCCCTGGGTGG